CCCCCCCCCCTTTTTCACTAAAATCTAGGCGAATTTCGGAACATCCCAAAACTTTTCCGGAAAATACTTTTTTTCACTAAATGTTTGAAATATGAAATTCCACATAATTTCAAGAATAATACAAAAAGTTTCAACCCATTAAGGTGAAAAAGGTGAAAATGCTTTTTAAGGGCTGAAACTAAGTTTAAGATCTGAATTGGTTTCTAGGAGGCTCTGTATTCAAATGAAAATTCATCAAAAACTAAAAAAAATTAGGTAAGAATTCACGAAAAATATACAATTTTCACAAAAATATTTTTTCAGAGAAAAAAGCCCACTTCACACTTTTGAAAAGTAAAAAAATGTCACGCAAAAATAGAAAAAAAAATCTCGTAAAAATCGGAAAATTGAGTGCTCCCCCTCCAATAGCACCAAAGAATATTTTTGCGTATAGCGCATTTTCCAGATACAGCACCGGTCATTAGATATACAAAACGTATTTTAAGTGGATTTTGACTATTTTCTGCAGTCTGGAGATTGGTTGTCAAGTGTCCGACAATTTTGATAATTTTTGAAGATGTAATGCAGATCGCGATTGCAAACTTTGCATTCACATTATTTCATGAAAGCTTCTAGTTGTTCAGCTATTGGTCGACTTATGAAAGCGCTATTTTTGATCAGCTGTTTTCGAACATGGTTATTTTCGAACGGGGAAAAAGCGAGAGAGCTGTCGTTTTATGAGTATATGGGTGAGGTCCAATACAGTGCGTTCAATAATTCTCTATTGTATTCCAAGCTAAATGCTTCTTGTGACTAAAAAATCCAGATTTGAGATCTATCAGACTGTTGGTTTAGCAACATTCTCTAGAAACGACTGATTAATATTAGTAACAACAGTAATAATTTATAAGTGTAAGGTTAAGCTTCTACATGGTATTCAACATGACTCACCATTCCATTATCTTTCTTTTGAGTTTCAAGTTTTCTTTATCCCGTGTAGTCGATTTATTTGTAAATGAATCTGCCTTCTCTTCGACCGATGTTTGGTTGTGAAGTAACCCCTCCGACCACTGTTCCATTCGCCTTTTACAAGCTTCCAAATCATCTGCATTGGCTATCGGATTTTCAGAACTTCCTGAAATTTTCAAAGATTTGACGAAATATAACAGGCATTCTCTCACTTTTCATAATGAAACCTTTTGGCAAAATTGAACACTTTTTATGTCCGCAATGTCTGTATTCGTCATTCTTAGTACCTTCGCGGTCAGTTGGGCTTTTGTCTTTTTCTTCTTTTTTATCATCACTTTTTTCTTCATTTTCTTCTTTTTCTTCTTCTTCATCTTCATACTCTTCTTCATCTTCATTTTCTTCGTCTTCTTCATCTTCATACTCTTCTTCATCTTCATTTTCTTCTTCATCTTCATCTTCATCTTCATCTTCATCTTCATCTTCATCTTCATCTTCATCTTCATCTTCATCTTCATCTTCATCTTCATCTTCATCTTCATCTTCATCTTCATCTTCATCTTCATCTTCATCTTCATCTTCATCTTCATCTTCATCTTCATCTTCATCTTCATCTTCATCTTCATCT